ACTATAATATGAATCAAAAATCTCATTTTTTGTAAAAAGTTCCCGTAACCCATTTTTAATAGATCAGCTCCCATATAGTAAATTAAGTGGATTATGCTAAAGTCTCATATATGCCTTAATTAATAGCATTAGCTTGAGAAAAAATTATAAGAGTTCTTCAAACAAAGCTTAATATAAAGGATAAATGCTATAAAATAGAAAAGGATAAAATTACCAAAGAAATAACATATACATTTGTTAAGAAATATCATAAAGAAGAGATGCGTCCAATTCTGTCTGAAAATGATATAAATGAATATTTATCTTATTCTGGTTCAGAAATAAATAAGAAAATTGATGAGTTTCTTGATAATGGAACTGGTTGACATTTAATTCAAATTGCAAAGGTAGGAGGATGTTATATTCTTACTCTTAAAAAACTTGTAAATTTAAATTGTATCATCAATTCAGATAATTATGTCTTTATAGATTCAAATAAAATAGACCTTCTGAAAAGTATTTTTAAGATGTATAGATGTTTACTCCACTCATTAGAATAAAAATACAGAATATCTTGAATGAATTTTTAAAACTAAGAAGCTTAAGCCTTACTTAAATGTTATCAAGCTAGATTAAACTTCAATGCCTCACAAACCTTTCAAAAGATTGAAGAGATGAATTCAGATATCTCCATTAGTATCTGTGAGTAGAAAGAAGAATTAGCCACTTCTAAACCAGTAATTACTAGTAAAAACTTTAAAAGACTACATAAAATTTGACTATTAACTCTTATAAATATTAATAAGGATGAGAAAACAGGTAGGTATAGACAAAAGAACCATTTTCTTTAAATTAAAAATTCTAATAGATTAATTTATGAGGATAATATGCATAAAGCTAAGAAACATTTATGTGATAGATGCTTTCAAGCTAGCTCTCTGAAAAATTCCTAGAATATCATTTAGAATTATGTTCAGGATTATATTTGAGCAATTCAAAAACTATAGTTAAATAATTAATGTCTCATGTGTTATTATAGCTGATTTTGAGGCTGATAATAAGAAAAGTGATGAGATATATAGTGGAAGTATAGTTAAGCTCACTGAGTAAAAAGCTAACAGCTTCTGTTATTTGGTTCACCAGAGATGTATGTAGACCTTTCCTATACAGGAAAAAAATATCATACAAGAATTTGTTTAAAGGATTGATTAAGAATTAGTAGAAATAAATAATGTTCTAGCATTAAGCAGAAGCGAGAAGAAACTGAGAAAGACAAGAAAAATTTACCAAAGCAGATACTTGTTAAATCTGTAAAGGAAAATTCACTATAGATAAAGATAAAGTCAAATGCTTAGAAAATAAGATATCATAACTCAATAATAAGCTAAAAAATACTGCTAAGGATTCAGAAGATCATAAGACCTTAAAAAAATAAATTCTCAAAGTAGCTAAAGCAATTGATCAAGCAGAGGCTATAGATGATAAAGTCTGAGATCACATAGGTGAATACAAATTTTCATTATGATTGGATTAATAGTTGTAGAGTCATGAACATTTTTCATAATTATATTAACTCACGAAATATTTTTATTTTTTTTCTGTTTAGTGACTTCAAAGAATAATTTAAGCATTACTGTCACATCACAGGTAAATTTCAAGAAGTATTCCACAATACCTGTAATCTTAAACTTCAAAATTGTGTTTTAGAAAACATCACATCAGTAGCCTTTTACAACTTCTGGAGCTATTACTCTCACTTGATTTGTGAATCTGTTGAATGATTTGTTAATGCACATTAAATCAAAGTTATAGCTGAAATATTTGAACACTATAAATCTATAAAGGTAAGTATATAGATAGTATGCAATTCATAAATATTAGTTTAGCCAATCTTACAAAGAATTTGAGTAATAAGCATCTAATGATAAGTCAGCATTTCAAAGGTCAAAGCTATTCAAATAAGCAAATAGCATTAGCAAGTTGTAAGGAAGTTGAACCCTATAAGTATATAAATTCTCAAGATAGGTTTTTAGGAACAAAACTTCTACCAATTTATGAATATACTACTAAACTTTATGGTAAAATTACCCAAGAAGATTATGAGTATGCTCAAAAAATTTGGAAGGAATTTGGATGCAAAAATTTAAGTGAGTATTATTATATTAATACATACTTATTAATAGTATCAATGATAAAGATTAAAGTCCACTCAGGAAACCTTTTTAATAAAAAAGTTGACCAACTAATAAAGAACTCTTTAGATTTTATAGCATTGAATTTAAATATTAATGACCAATTTCACATCATGCTATATTATAACAATTTGTCTATAGCCTCTTCTATTCAGCATTTTATTAAAAATATTACTAGAGCTGAAGTTTTTACAGCATTTTTGAACATTAATATTAACATTAAATATGACGATATAGATATTAATTGGAATTTCACTACTTTTTATCTCTTAGATGATGTTACTTCTGCTACTTTTAAGAAAAAGAAGATCCAAAGAATTTTTGAGATGCTACCTATAATGAAAGTACTCAAAAACTATCACTCATTTTTGTTTGACCAGACATAAAACTGTAATAGATATGACATTGAATTAGAAGATTTCACACATATTTGGATTTGTCCTATAATACTTCATAAATACAGAGTTTAATTCAGAATTCTAAATTATTATTCGACACTATCATAATAAGGAACTATAACACTTAATAAACTAACTAGATATCTGATCACTTTTTTTTTCAAACAAATTTTCTTTTATAGACTTAATTTAACGTTAATGTATTATTCTTTCGAACTTATATCATTTAATTCATCTATCACAAAATTCTAAAGCGATTACTGAAGCAGTATTATTTTCTATCATGCATTATATCTTTAAACTAAAGATTCGGGCAAAACCTGATAATTACGCCTGATCTGAATTTGAAATTTAGGCAATATTAATTATGCCTTAACAAAAAATTTCTGAAATGTCTGATTAAGTCCAATACAACCCAAATCTGAAATTCAATCTGAATTAATTGAAATTCTCCAAAACTTAATTATTCATATGAAAATCAAATATATAACATTATTAGTAAGACAAACATTAATGCATTCGTGTCTTACAAAATGGAGGCTAATTCAAGTACTTCAACAAATGATACTTTATTGCCTAAATGAAAAGTTGGTGGAAAACTTAATTACCAACCATTTCAGCCAACTCAAACAAAACTTTCTGATTATATTGAAAGTACTAAACTTAATCCTAAGCGTACTAAAGAGATAACCCACACATTATTAAAAGCATTTATTATTTGTAGAATTCCTTTTCATATTATTAAAAATCCATTCTTTATTGAACTATTAAAAACTTTATGTCTGGCATATGATCCTCCATCAAAAAATATTCTTTTTGAACAACATTTAACGCAAGAAACAGCTTTTATTAATCAAGAAATAATTAAACAATTAAAAAATTCTGAGAATCTCACGTTAGGTAAGTTTTTTTATTTTTTTATTTTTATATTTTTATAAAATTAAATTCTAAAAATTATAATTAATTAATTATTTAGCTTGTG